TTTAGTTGGCATCTGTGTCAGTTTGTCATGTCTCCATCTTTTTTAGCCTTTAGCAGTCTCTTACATTCTGGCACCATAAGATGTTCCAAGATCACTTTGCATAGTCTCTGCCTCCGTCTTTGAATGAATCATTTCTCCAAAGATCCCTTGTTTATTGTATTAGGGCATCATATTAGAAACCAGTATCTGGGCACTAAATGTGCTCTTACTACTAGCAATGTGTCCTTCCTCCTAGGCACTTTTTGTGGACTAACGAGGAAATCTATATGTGTATAGTAATCCATGCATATGCACATATCTATAAACATTTTTATGTGACCGTTTGTAGTTATATTAAGCTAAACTTGTGTTCATACTGCTATCTCCAATTCAAATCATAGCTGTATGGTACAGTCTAGCTTCTTGATTATCTGTGAACTCCCACTCCTAATAGTAAGAAACCTGGTTCCCACCATCAGCCACCCACATTAGCCATTTTCAAGAGTACAAAGAGTACAATCCAGTGGTATTAAGTACATTCACATTGTTGTGCAACCATAACCACAGTCTACCCACAGAACTCTGGCAAACTGTTCACTCTTAATTGTTCATTTCCCACATACACAGTTATATCAGGGTTACCAATTCGTGCCACCACAGGTGTGCAGCTTTATCAATTGAAGTAGTGCTGTATACCCCTTTTTTACATTTAGTTTTATAGACTCTAGTCCTTTCCAAAGTTATTTAAGTCAGCAATGTTCTCCTACCCTCTTCAGTGAGGTTGTTGCATAAAATAGTTTGTACTGTTTCTTACCACATATTAGGATCCCTTAACTTCCTAAATCATTAAAGATCTGCACACATTGGGGATGAGGTTGTAATCCACTGGTAGAGTGAGTGCTTAGCATGCATGAGGCCCTAGGCTTGCTTTCCACTACCCTCTTCCCATACACAAAATTGCATACACTAAGGCTCTGTGTGATTTCTTAAATGCACAGTGTTCTGTGTCAGTCATTATAGTACCATGCAAACACTTTTGCTGTCTAAAATACCTTCTGGGCCTCACCTACTCAACCTTCCTCTTCCACTCATCCCTATTGATCTGCTTCTCATCTCTGTATTTTCACTTTTCCACAGTGTCATATAAACTTCCGGCAGCTGTTGAGTGCTGGGATTAGAGGTATGCACCACCCAGCCTGACCTTTCTTATAGTTTTAATTTTCTGTTCTTTCTTGTATAGTATTAAAGGACAAAGATGGTCTTTTTTTGTTGCTGCACCAAAGCTAACAGAGGTCTGAGCTCATTTCACTCTAAAGAGATTTTATAAGAAAGATTGATTTAGTTGACAAGAAATGTTCAATCTCAAGTAATTAAAGTTTTATATTTTCAGCCTGCTATGCCAGAAACAGACAAATGCATTGGAGAATTTCCACAATTTCAGAATTTTAAAAAATTTAAAATTTTTTTATTTTATGTGTATGAGTGTTTTGCCTGCATGTATGTAAGTGCACCCATGTCATGCAGTGCCCCCAGAGGGCGTTGGATCCCTGGAACTGAGTTACAGATGGGTGTTAGCCTGGCTGCCATATGGGTGCTGGGATTTGAACCCAGATCTTCTGCAAAAGCAGTGTAACTCTAGATCCCAGGGCATAGCCCTCTTCTGGCCTCCCTAGGCATTGGGCATGCACATAGTGCGCTTACATGCATGCAGGCAAAACACTTTCAAATACATAAACTAAAAATAAATAAAATCTTCTAAAAAATAATAAATTATCAGTTTGTGCCTCATGAATGGTGTTGGACAGGTGGTGCGGTACAAGAAGATACAGAGCTATTTGCACTCAAAATGGACCGAAATGGAGCTTTGTAAAATAGAGTCACCCAGGGCAAGGCACAGTCTGAAAGCCGCTGTTTTAACAATACTTAGAGCAGGGCACAGCCTGATCTTCACAGTTTATTTTGCTCTTATTCTTTAATTGAAACAATGTCCAAAGTGCACTTAATAACAATGTATATTATGATGATTTAAAAAATATTTTATTTATTATTTTTATTTTATGTGTATGCATGTGTTGCCTGCATGTAGGTAAGGGCACCGTGTCGTGCAATGCCGGCGGAGGACAGAAGAAGCTGTTGGATCCCCTGGAACTGGAGTTACTGACAGTTGTTAGTTGTCATGTGGGTGCTGGGATTCGAACCTGGGTCTTCTGCAAGAAGCCAGTGTTCTTAACCTCTGAGCCATCTCTCCAGCCCCTAGTATGTTGATTTTTAAATTCTTACCAAAGTCCAAAAGACCAATTTTCTATATGGCTCTTGCTAGCAAAAGCGATAATTTCAGCACAGCGGTAAATAAAATTCATTGACATTAACTAAGCCTCAAGAGAGTTCTGATAAAGGGATGGGTGAAAGGGTTACACTCAGAACTTATTTTCCAGCAATCTCTTCAATCAGCAGTGATAAGAAATGGCCTTAACTTACCCTAAATTCTTCCTGCTCAGGCATCAACACAGAAAGAGGAAAGGACTTCATTTCTCTACATAATTTGTATTTTATGAGTCTTTTTTCCTATTGGCAGAAGCAGAAATCTTAGCGTTAAAAGGGAATTTCCCTTTAAAATTGAGGCACTCTACCTCCACCACCGGAGTGCTATGATTACAGGTGTGAGCCAGCATCACAGTCTGGAACTATTCGATAGGTTATGAAAGGAGATGGGAAGCAAAACCCGAACTATGACTACGCTCTCATTCCCCTCGTTTTCCGCCGCATGAAATGTGGACTTTTCAGTTAATAGAAGCAGGCGGAGCAAGACTGAGGCAGGACGGTGCTGAGTCTTTTGGAACCTCCACACGAAAGCCAAGCATGACACCACCACACTAGCACAGAACTTTGCTAGGTGCAAGGTCTGAGGAGCCCCAGGCGTTCTCTCCCATTCTTCAGTCACAGTGGGGTCACCCCAGAGGGTGAGCTGTTGGAGCACGGAGTGGTGGCAAATGGACTCTTGGACTCACCGTGTTGAACCGTGGCATTTCCGTTTCAAGCTGCCCCTTACTAAACACTTCTCACTGAGTGCTAGGCTCTGTGCTACTGGGTTTCCAAGCTTTCTGAAGCAAATCGGAGGTCATATTGTTAGTGGCAGTCGGTGGGGGTGGGGGTGGATCGGAGACACAGCTTCGTCTGCTGCCTGTAGCAGCCCAAGTTCTTTTCAGAGACCAACTTAGGTGAAGCTGGGAATCTTATCTGCAGTGCAGAAAAGGATTTCAGGATGACTTGGTATGAAGCAAAGTCGGAATTTATTACACATTTTTTTCAAACATAGATTAAGCATGGGCATTAATAGATACTCAGGGAAAGATAGGACACACCCAAGTGTGGTGTGGGTTTCTCAAGAGCTGCAATTAAATGTCTCTGCCACAGCTACATAATACAATTCTGGAAACTTTTGGATTTGCTCAAAGGGCTTCTAAGGGCCCTTTCCTCCACTTTTACCCTTTTTGTGGTGAGATTCTAGAGTAGTTCCTGCGGTACCTTGGATAGGTTTACACTCTGATAAAATAAAATATGGGTCATAAAAGTTACACAATGGAGTTAAGATAAGTCTTTCACTGTAATAGGCGTTCTTCCAGAGATTCCTAGAAAATTATAGGTTTACAGCTCAGAAAGGAGGAGGCCTATGTGGTCATATATGCTTAGTCCTTAAGCATATCTCTATTTTAACATTCTTATTTGAAATATCTCTAAGAAGGTTGTTCCTAGGCAGACAAACTTCACAGCAAATGTTAATTGTGCTGAAATTCTTGGTTCTCAGTTGGTGAGAGACTTCAGACCAACTCCAGGCTAGGAACTCCTTTCCTTTCCCATGTCCCCTTAATTTTCCCTTCTTTCTATTCTTCCTCAATAGGCCAACCTCTCCAGGGATGTACTCTGAGTTTCCTTCCCCACATAGGATGCAAGTGCATTTAAGCAAAATATAATTTCATAATATTTAAATGAGTTCGATCCCCCAAACCTACATGGTGGAAGGAAAGAACCAACAAGTTGTCTGCCCACTGATGCTGTGGCCAGCGCTCCCCCAAACAAACAAACAATAAATAAATGTAATAAAAAAGAAATGTGGCCTGGCGGTGGCTCACGCCCTTAATCCCAGCACTCAGGAAGCAGAAGCAGATCATTGGGAAATCAAAGCCAGCCTGGTCTACATAGTGAGTTCCAGGCGAGCCTGGACTACAGGAGGACCATGTCTTACACACACACACACACACACACACACACACACACAAATCAAATTCTGGAGACAGATAGTGGTAATGGCCGAATAACAATATGAATTAATGTCAGTGATACAAATGATATATTTTAATGTCAAATATATGATATATTTCTCCGTATATAAAATTTAAAACACAATTACAAAAAAGGTTTGGGTCAGGTGAAATAAAACTAAGGCTCAAGACCAGTCTGCATAGGTCAAACCTTGGTTTGCACGCCCACCGCCCCCTAAATCACACCCCCTCCCTTGAGGGGGACCTCCTCCTTTAATCTCAGTCGCCCCCTTAATAAAAACGAGGCGGTTGCCGATGACCTCAGCGACTCTCCAGCTCCGTGTATTACAGTTTTCGGAGCGCACAAAGTTCACCGAACTGTTTCAAAGCCACGGTACTCGGGGCGCAAAAGGCGCTTCCACCTGAGTAGAGCCGGCTAGGGGCTCCGGGTCCAGCACCACGGGGCGCACTACTCCGCGCGCCTGCGCAGTGGTCCCGGCCTCGGTCCTGCGCGCCGGCCTCACCCGCGACCAGTCGCAGAGGGGGGCGGCCGAGGGCGGGTACGGGCCGGACTCCGCTGACTCTTGTCCCCGCAGCCGGTGCCCAGGGGCAGCGCTCTCGCCTCCTCGCCTCACCCCATCCCCGGCTCGGGTCCCAGGTCCTGTGCGCCCAGCCGGGAAGGGGGAAGAGCCCTCCCGCGCACCGCCCCGGGGGTCCCGCCCGCCGGGCTCGGCCCGCCCCGAGGGGCGTGGGAGGGCGGAGCCGCGGACTTCGGACTCGCGCCGGCTGGGAGGTCAGGGCTCAGCTGAAGCCCGCAGCGTGCAGCGGCGCAAAGGGAGGCATGTCGGCGCTGCTGGGACTCAGGCCCGAGGTGCAGGACACCTGCATCTCGCTGGGGCTGATGCTGTTGGTCGTGCTGTTCGTGGGGCTGGCCCGCGTGATCGCCCGGCAGCAGCGGCACAGGCCCCTGGTCCACGCCTTCGTCCTGGAGTTTTTAGCCACCTTCCAGCTCTGCTGCTGCACCCATGAGCTGCAACTGCTGAGCGAGCAGGACCCGGCGCACCCCACCTGGACGCTGACACTGATCTACTTCTTCTCCTTGGTGCATGGCCTGACCCTGGTGGGCACCGCCAGCAACCCGTGCGGCGTGATGATGCAGATGATGCTGGGGGGTATGTCCCCCGAGATGGGTGCCTTGAGGTTGTTGGCTCAGCTGATGAGCGCCCTGTGCAGCAGGTACTGCATCGGCGCCCTGTGGAGCCTGGGTCTGACCAAGTACCACTTCAACGAGAGGAGCTTAGCTTGCAAGAATCCCATCCACACCGACTTGCCCAAAGCGATCATCACAGAAGCCATCTGCTCCTTTATTTTCCACAGCGCCCTGCTGCATTTCCAAGAGGTCCGAACCAAGCTTCGCATCCACCTGCTGGCTGCGCTCATCACCTTTTTGGCCTATGCAGGTTTGTCACTCCCACAAAAACACTTGGCAGTTCCCAGCCTCAGACCCGAGGCCCCAAGTTCTTTACCAAGATACATTTGAAAGCTCTACTCCAATGTCGTGTAAATATTTGTACCCTCACCAGGCTCCCGCGTTACTCTAAACTTTCAGCTAGTGCCTGGCTGATAGGGCAGACATACAGATCCTCCATTCAGTGCTGTTTCAAACACCTAGAGAAAGCAGACACTCCTGTGCCGAAACTGAGATCCTCTAAGATACTGCCAAGGGCTCAAATAGCCTATAAAGGGGTTGTTTTGATGTTAGAAAGACAGCTTATCAGTTGCTACTCTCATGCCAAGGTGGTAGAGATCCTTTCTGATACTCACTGAAAAATGATCCTCCTCTAAAAAGTTCCTTCCAGTTTAAAGCACATGATTAGTTAGCAGTAAACAGTGGGGGTAGAAATTCTGTCATTGTGTTTCCTTTTTTTTTCTTGCAAATTACTCCTATTTAGTAGCCTATCGTGAAAGATATGTGTTTCAAAATTAAAACCTGCTTAAAGGTGATTTTTAAAAAACATAATTCTCAGCTAGGTGTGGTGTATAATCCCAGCACTCAGGAGGAAGATGACAGCAAGTCTGAGGCTAGCCAAGGCTACCCACCGAAACTGTCTTAAAAACAACAAAGAAAAGATCTGCAGAAGTTTATGGCCCTTATTTCCTTTTTACTGTGTAGACCAGGCTAGCCTCAATTCACAGAGATCTGCCTGCCTCTGCCCCTGGGGCCCAGATTAAAGGCAAGTGCCTTTGATACACCTGACGTATTAATTTTTAATCATTTATTTACCTTATCAAACTCAAGCTGCTGTAGTAGGGTAGTCTAACCAAAACAAGGAAATCAAAACAATGTTTAATGATAAAAATGTGCCTTTTTAAAAAGTGTCAATTAAGTGATTGCAACAAAAATGCCTTTATTGGACAATAGTAGAATTATAAAAATGTCTTAGAGGCATGGATATAATAAAGGAAATTCATAATAATTTGTCTTGTAACCATTAAAAGTGAAACTATGTAGCTCAGTGGTAAAGTGTTTGTCTGGCATGCATGAGGTTCTGGGTTCAATCCCCAGCACCACAAACAAAATTCCTGAAACTCAGTACACGAATGCTTAAGGCAAGGATTCCTAGGCATATGTTTGCTTTCCTAGGGTAAAAGACTGCACAATCAATCATCTCTGCTACTAAGTTTTTAGTAGACATACATGAAATTCACTGTATAGGAGTAAGGGAAGAAGGTATATGCATATTTGAGGAATTAGTGAATAGTTATTTGCTAGAATTTTAGGTTTTGGCTAAAGCAGAAACATTGCTGCACACAGTATTATGCCTGGTAAAAAGCTATAACACCACAGTAAAAGCAGTAAATAGCAGGGCAGGTGGCTTGTGCCTGCAATCCCAGTACTTGGGAGATACAGGCAGGACTATCAGGGTCATCCTCAGCTACACACTGGGTTTGAGGCCAGCCTGGGTTACATAAGACGTTGTCTCTAAAAACAAGTAAAAAGTGAAAATTTGAGATTTTTTTTTAATAATTAAAAAATATTAACTACAGCTGGGCATGGTGGTGCACACCTTTGTAATCCCAGCACTCAGGAGATGGAGTCATGCAGGTCTCTGCAAGATGGAAGGCCCTGGTTTACATAGGGAGTTCCAGGATAGCTGGGGCTACAGGGAGACCCTGTCTCAAGAAAAAAAAAAAAAAAAAAAAAAAAAGATAAAAACATAACAAAACAACAACAACAACAAAACATTAACTACATCTGGACCTTTCTCTCGCTACGTTACTCATCCTGCCTTTGTTGATTGTTGTGAAGTTGGCATTCTTCCTGAATTTTATGCTTTGAATACAAAGTTAGAATTCTGTATATAATGTATATGCTACTAACCATTCTTGGGCTCAAGATGTAGTTCAGAGATAGCATTATGCCTGCATGCACAAGGCCCTGGGTTCCATCCTCAGCACTACATGGGGGTTGGAGGGGGGAGCCCTATAAGTAAGATTAGATAGGTTTATTTATTTATTTATTTATTTATTATTTTGTGTATGAGTGTCTTGTCTGCCTGTAAGTACATCATGTGTGTAATGCCCACATAGGCTAGAAGAGGGCATCAGATCCCCTGAAACTGGAGTTAAGGATGGTTGTAAACTGCCATATGGATGCTGGGAACCAAACCCAGGTCCTCTGCAAGAACAGCCAGTGCTCTTAACTGCTGAGCCAGCTCTCCAGCCCAAGTAACAGATTTTGAAAGAAAAGAAACAAGATAATATTTGAGTCTGTAGATAAGTAGAAGGAAAGTGGGGAATGAGTCTCTAGAATACCAATTTAAGGGATTTGAAACACTTCCCTTGTTTCTTGAAATGTGAATACCAATTATGAGGAGGAGAGAGCAAACCCATCTCTGAAGCAGAGAGTCTCAACATCCTGTTTTCAAATCACTTGAGAAGCTCTAAAAATGCACCAATCTTGGGTATATAAAAATTTAATTGCTCTGGGAAGGAGTCTAGGCAAGGGTACATTTTAAAGTTCGCTCCAGGTGAGGCCATTATGAAACCAAGGGTGTGAACAGTTGCTCTAGGAGTCTAGATCTGCCTGGTCCAGCTTAGCAGCCACAGCCCCATATGATTGCTTTGATCGAAATGACCTTAAACGTCTTCTCTTGCAGTAGCCACATTTCATGTGTTCACACGTGTCATGTTGTCCTATAGCTAGTGGCTACAGGATTGGGCAGGGCTTGAGATATGTCAATCATGCATCATGCTGGCCTCCTCCTGCCTCTGCCTAGGATTAAAGTCTGATGAATGTCAGTTTAACAAACTCTTTTTTTTTTTTTTTTGAGACAGGGTAGCCCCAGCTAGCCTGGAACTCTCTATGTAGACCAGGCTGGCCTTGAACTCACAGTGATCCACCTGCCTCTGCCTGTTCTGGGAATAAAGGCAGGGATAGAACCAAATGCACCAGCTAGTTACAGAAATTCACCATCTATTACATATATAGATTTTCTCATTTCCTTCTCTGCCAATATAAAAAGAGGTACTCATTGAGCCTGTTACAGACCAAAGTAATTTGCTAGGAAATTTATATGAGTTTTTTTGGTGCTTTTTTGTTTTGAAACAGCCTCCCAAATGTAGTCCTGATGGCCTGGTGGCTGGCCTGGACCTCGATATGTCAATCATGCATCATGCTGGCCTCTGTCTCGCAGAGATCACCTGCCTCTGCCTAGGATTAAAGGTGTGCTATAGCAGGCCAGGATTATGAGTTATCTTAAACCTTACAGTCACCCACTAATGAGCACATGATTCCCATTTTAAGTAAAGCAAGTGACACTTAGAAGTCAAATGACTTGCCTCTGAGTCGCAGTCTGTGCTAGAAACGTGGATCTCTCTGATAAGTGATGAGTGTCAGTTTAACAAACGCCTTTTCTTTTCTTTTTTTTTTTTTTTTTTTTTTTTAAGACAGGGTCTCCCTGTAGCCCCAGCTGGCCTGGAACTCTCTATGTAGACCAGGCTGGCCTGGAACTCACAGTGATCCACCTGCCTCTGCCTGTGCTGGGAATAAAGGCGTGTGCCACCACGCCCAGCAACAAATTCATTTCTTTATCAACATTTCTGCAGTGTGCTCAAGAATACAAAATACACACTATGCTATTTAGCAGTAAGAAGGAATGAAGTTCTGACACATACCTCATGGATGAGCATCATGTTAAGCAAAAGAAGCCAGATTAAAAAAGAATCACACAAAGCGTGACTCCACTTATGTGAAATTTCTAAACAGGTAAATTCAGAGTCACAATGTAAGCAGATGTTACAAGAACTGAAAGTAAATGATGGGGGCGATTTTATCGTCTAATGGGTACGGGATTTGTATTTGAAGCAATGGGAAAATGAAAACTTTGGGCCAGACGTAGTGGCTCACACCTGTAATCCTAGCACTAAGGCAGGAGGATCAGGAGTTCAAATGTACCAACTAGTTACAGAAATTCATGATCTATTACATATATATGACAGTTTAAAATCTTTAAATTATAACAGAATTGTGTAATTCTGTTACCAATAAATTTGTCAAATACAGATTAAACAGATTTCTAATGCTGAGATCTTATAGACTTTACTACTGTGTATGTGAAACTCCAGGAGGACGATGGGAAACAGGTTTGCCAGAGCGTGAAGCAGAAGAGAGCCCACCTTGGGAACTGTCAACACTTAGGTGTATCATTCCCATTATTTTCCAAGAGGAAATTGTGTTTTGTACAGAGAATGGACTGCCTTGGGACTGGTTGAGTGTCTGTGCTGTTTTATATTGAGCAGCAGAGCTACAGGCTCTCAGGATTGTGTATTTATTGTTCAGCAAACCAATTTTGTTGCTATGCAGGGACTTGAACCTAGGGCCTAGAGTATGTGCCCTTACTTAATTGGGGCCTCAATTTCCTTATCTTTAAAATGGACAATGCTGGAGCTGGAGAGATGGCTCAGCAGTTAAAAGCACTGGCTGCTCTGCCAGAGAACCCAGGTTCAGTTCCCAGCACCCACATGGTGGCTAACAATCGTCCTTAACTCCAGTTCCAGGAGATCCAATGCAGGCACTGCATGACATGGGTGTGCTTACATTACATACATGCAAACAGGGCACTCATACACAAAAAAATAAATTAACAAATAAAAATAAAAAACAGGTATTACTAGTATGAGGGATGGTGTTTGAAGCTTTGTAGCTAGTTCCTGGTGTAAACTAAATGCTGGAGAGATGTTGCTGTTATTCCTTCACCCTAATTTCCCACGGGTTTCCTGTTTAACTTGATCATTTCTGCATGATTGATAATTTGTTGTTCACAATTCCTTTAGTAAGTGGTGCAACCTGAGGAGGAATTCCCTTCCCCCCCAGGGACCTGTACCTCAAGCCAAGCAGATTCCTAGAATGAAGCAAAGTTAGAGACATTATTCAGTCTTTAGAGGAGTCACAGAGGAAAAGAACAGGTGGGCGTGGCCTATCAACACAGCCCATCCCCCTTAGGCAGCTTAGAGTGGCCTATAAAATGACCCTGCGGCTTTCTAAATTATGCTTCTCAAAGGATGTCGTTTACAAAAGCAAAGCTTAAAGTTTAAAGTTTAAAAGTTAAATAAAAATATATCAGCTTAAAAAAATTCTTAATTTCCTTTTGTAAGTGAGAGTATAAAGTGGTTTTATGAGGTTTGGGGGAAGAGAGAGAAATAGTAATACAATAAAACTCAAAGTTACAGATATCTGGCTCTCAGTGTAGTTTGTTTGTTTCTTTGAATCAGGGCTCCCAGATGCCCTGGCTGGCCTAAATCTTACAGAGATTCACCCACCTCTGCCTCCCCAGTGCTGGGATTAAAGGCATGCACCACCACACCCAACATAGTTCATTTGCTTTTAACATCCTTATCTGTAGCATCTTTAGGAAAACATGCATTAGTCCTGTAGGCAATTTTGGCTTTACTTATTGTACATATAGATAAAACCTTATGAAACTGCATTTTATGTTTGTGTTCATGGCACACAAAAGTATCACACCTTACTTTCTGAAGTTTTTTTTTTCATGATAGTGGTTCAGTGTTTATCTTGGAGATTTATATACATAGAAAATTCTGTCATTAATTCAAAATAGTGCAGATTATTACAAACAAACTTGTTTATTTAGCAATCTTTCTGGACATTTAGATTTTCCCAGCTTCTGTATGTCTCCTTGTACATGATTGTCACTCCAGGACAGAGGTTCTCATGGGAGAATTTTGTGTTTTTTTGAAAGAGTCTCACTATATAGTCCCAGCTAGTCTGGACCTCACTGTATAGATCAGGCTGGCCTTGTCGAATTTACAGATCTGCCTGCCTCTGCTTCCAAGTGCTAAGATTAAAGGCAAGCACCATCATGCTCAGTCTTCTGTAGACATTTTTGATTGTTATAATGTAGTGAGAGGGGTGTGCTACCAGCATCTAGTGGGCAGGGGCTGGAGATGCCACAAATGTCCTACAGTTAATGGCCTCTGATAGCAAAGGATTATATAGCAAAACAGCAAAGCCGATGCTGTGTTTGGGGCATTTGTAAACACAGATCCCACACTATACGGCAAACCACCCTGAAACTCTAGAAGTAATCATTTACTACTTTTCATGATTCTGTGGGTGAAACTCTGAGATCACTCATGCAGCTGCATTCAGCTGGATGGTAGTGGGGTCAGAAGCCAAGGGACCCTTGCTCATGTCTGGCTGTTGGTGCCACTTGTCACCTGGGATGTGGCTTTTTATCCTCTAGCAGGTCTTTTTGAGACACGGTCTCCCTGTAGCTCCAGCTGTCCTGGAACTCACAGTGTAGACCAGGCTGGCCTTGAATTCACAGAGATCTGCTTGCCTCTACCTCCTGGGTGCTGGGATCAAAGGTGTGACCACCACACCTGGCTTAGACCACTTCTTACAAGGAAAAAAATGGAGATTACAAACAAGACATTCAGTGTCTCTCCTGCCCTTCAGAATGCAGTGACTTCTGTGTTCTGTCAATTAAGACAGGGAAGAAAGACTCCATACTTCTTAATTCTGTCAATTAAGAAAGGGAAGAAAGACTCCATAGTTCTTGGTCTAGTAGCGGTGCCACAGATTCTGAATAGAGAGCCCTGTGAGGATTAGAGGAGAAGTGAGTGTTGGACTTAGACCTAACACCCTCTTCATAAGCTATGGCCTGCATTACTGAAGTAAACTAGTAGTGAGGGCAATGACTCAGGCTGTTTTGACTGAAAAATGCCTTAAAAAGCCACCTGTATGATCATCTCATAACATTACAAAGATCTACAAGTCTTTATCTTTCTGACCATGGTGTTTAGTGCACAGGCACTCGATTTATTATTATTATTTGTGTGCGTGGAAACTGAAATGACCAGCTGCCAACCAAACAGTCCTGTTGAATGTTAAGAGTGGCCAAATCTCATCAGGTTTACTATCCCAGTATTTGACTGTTAAAGAGTGATTCTGAAGGTCCTCAGATGACATGGTTTGTAATTACTGAGATGAATCATGCTGTTGGGCTGCGATTCAAGAGAAAATCTCAGACTTTAATGAGTTCAGTCCACTGCTCAATAGCTTTACCTCAGCACTGTTCCATCATTCTCAGTGTATCCCCTGTGAAACCTCATTCGTGGAACCCTATGAAAGGATCACTTAATCCCAACTTCACCTTCCCCCATTTTATGAAGACAGCAAGTACAGTGGTTCATGTCAGTGTTTAACTTGTGAAGATCCGAGTGAAGACATGTGAGAAAGCTTCCATTTGTAAGAACTACCAGAAATGTCCCTGTCTTAGGGATTCTCTAGGGGGTATTTGGAAATGCACTGCCACAGCTCTGGTGAATGGTGTTGGTCAGTTGCCCAACCTTCCTTTCCTTGCTGACTGTGTGGTCAGAACATAAACCCCTGGGCCCCATGTCAAATCTACCCTGAGTGTGGAGTTGGAACGAGTCCTGAAAAGCAATCCACAACTGGACTTTGTGCTTTCTACTCAATCACGTTTTAAGCTTTATGTTGTGTGTGTGTGTGTGTGTGTGTGTGTGTGTCTGTGTGTGTGTATGTGCACATACCCATGCACACACATGTAGAAGCTAGAGGACCTCAAGTGTCTTCTTCCATCACTCTCCACCCTATTCCTCTGAGACAGGATCTTTTGCTGAACCTTCTCCCAGGATCCATGTCTCCACAACCTTCCCCCAGCGCTGGGGTTACAGGCACGCACAGTCATGCCTGGCTTTAAAATTTATTTTTATGGGGCTGGAGAGATTGCTCAGTGGTTAAGAACACTGGTTGTTCTTGCAGAAGACCCGGGTTCAAAACCCAGCACCCACATGGCAGCTAACAACTGTCTGTAACTCCAGTTCCAGGGGATCCAACAGCCTCTTCTGTCCTCTGCGGGC